GGGCCGCTTGTAGCCACTCGCCTGGGCCCTAGTCGTTGCCAGAGTGCAAGGTCGGCGCAAATCCACATCTAATGCGGCGCGTGGTGCGAGAAGTCTCCCTTTCGGAAACATTAGGCTCGCTGGATATAAATCAATGACACCGTAGAAGGGTGGATATAAAAAAGGGGGATTATAATTATGGAGAATATGTGTACGAAGCAGATATCTCGGGGTAAAAAAATATGAAAGCCTTGCATCATGCAGGGCGTGGCGGGGCCCCACGTGGCAGGAGGAGTGCCCCCAAGTGGCAGGAAGAGTGGCGTCGCCTCGAAGCACCAAGCGGCCAGCAACAAACAGTGATCATGGGCGTTTTGGATTCTTAGTTTTTCCTTAAGTCATTGTATTTTTTGCATTCAAGAGTACATTGTATAAGAGTTTCCCATATACCTTTTAGAATGGTAAAATGCATTAAAAATGGTAATTAAAATATATATGTAGACGATACGTCTCCCCATATTTGTCTCTCCATACAGTTTGAAATATTTTTCACACATCCCATTAGCCAAACGGCCTTCTGGGAGTGCATTTTTTTCCAGCAGCACGGTTTATATCAAGCCAAACTCTGGACCAGTCTCAGCCTGTGGTAGGCATTGTAATGGGTCATTTTCATGGGAGAGTAGGCAGGAGGAGCAAGAATACGCGGTTGATTGAATAGATTTGGTACAGGGGTTGTAAATGAGAGAGAACTGGTGGCCAATCAGAAAGGACGTTCCGCTAGAGAGAACGTTCTAGCTCTTTACTCATTTTGGCTTCACAAATGCAGCTAACAATAGTATGAAGTAGCATTGTCGAGAAGCAGAAATATACATACATCACAAACAAACAAATGTGAACGGTAATTATTGACAACAGCCACAGCGGTTTAAACCGAAACGCCTCAGAGAGTGGAGCGATTCTACAGGCCGCAGGGGCTCCGTGTTCCTCGCACCCCGAGCGCGGTGCAGGCCCCCCACGAGAGAGAGCATCACGGTATGGGCACGGGGCGACGGGCGATGCGCGCTGCTCTCGTCTCTCGAGAACCCTCGGTGCTTCCCCCTCGCATGGTGCGCATGGACATCTCCGAGATGTTCTCAACGGCATCGCTTGCCACTAAATGCACGCAGACACTTTTTTCGAGGGGCCGTTTAAAAATACATTCCGCAACTCTCACGCATTTCAACTTAATCCTCTTCCCAGTCTCGTATCTGACATGAGCCATGATCGTATCTTTGTGCTGCCAACATCTTTTCGTTGTTAATTTATTTCTTACTCCGTTTCCAGGAAACATCATTTTTTTGGGTCGAGAATCCAACACCGATCCAACACCTGCTCGGTGACCTCATAGCCATGTGCTGCTGCTCTTCTGGCCTCTGACCTCCTGATGTCCCTTTCCTGAGATGTGACATCTGATCATTGCAAGGCTATACTTAACCCCAGGACTGCTTTTGTGACCCACAGTTTGGGAGCTGGCAAAGAATGGACAAAACTGCAGCCATTTCTGTTCTTCTTGACGGTCAAGTAGTTTGTGCCAAATGCTTAGGAGAGGCCAGCTGATTGCATAGCGTGGGAAACGAATTGAAACTTAATTTTTTTAAACAGATTGGCTGAGTACAGAGGCCGCCCAAAGACTCAAAACGTCAGGCGGCCAGCAACCAATGGCCTGATGAAAGTTAATTAATAGATGAGTTAATGTGTTTCTTGAATTGAGCGAGGTTAATATTATTATTGTACGAGCTTGGGAATAGAGACGATGGGAGGAGGGAATTCAGGAGTGGAGCGGTGCGTGGGAAGAAGAAGAAAGAGAAGTGAGGTCACCTGTAATGTGGGGAGTGAGGGGTGAGTGGGTGAGCGGGTGAGTGAGGTGGATGAGTGTGTTGGTATATGGGTGAGTCTTTGGGTGAGTGAGTTAATGAGTGGGTGAGTGAGTTAATGAGTGGGTGAGTGAGTGGGTTTGTGGGTGACTGAGTGGGCTGTTGTGAGCTGCATTGTGCAGGATGAGATCAAACAGTCAGTGTCTGGTAATCTGAGTTCTGAACATGGGTGGACAAATCAATGAGCGAAGTTCATGGGAACAGTAACCGTGGTAGTAGTGATAGAAAAGTAATGATGAATCTGTGCCCCTGAATAATTATGTTGACACTCAAATTGTGTGCTGTTAAGAAGGACACATTTAATTGAGTGAGAATTTTGGCGAGACGCTATCTGCAATTAATATTTTTGTTGGAAATGATTGCACGAGCACACACACTCAGTCTGCCTCCGTTCTGCTCGCATTGTTTCGGACACAGCGATCTGATGATAGCTCTCCACATATTCCGTCACACTTTTAGCATATAATAGACAACAACCTGTATTATTTAAACTTGCAAAATACATTTAAGAGAACACCAAATTTATATTGAGCTAAGATATAAAACTATGATCACATTTTATATAGTTTTGTTTCACATTTTCAGTAATAACCCAATCACTGTACGCCACTCAAATTCCCAACGCTAATCTGTACAGGTGCACAACAAGTCGGCTTTTTCATGGCAATTGGACGGGGAAGCAATATTTATTTATTTACTTATCTATAATATATAAGTAGGATGCCTGCCTAAAACAGATGCAAACGTCTTGAGAAGGCGTCTCTGCAGTAGACGTGACTCATGCCAGGGTAGCCAGGGCCTCTGGGAAGCGGTGGGGGGGGAGTGGCCCTGAGGAGTTCTCAGAGGGAGCTAAGCACACTGGATTTGAGGGATTATCTGATGGAAGGATGTCCAAGAGGGCTGTCGAGAGGCCGGCACTGGAAACCCTTCAGATCTGGCAACTTTCCTCGCCAGATCTGTGGTGCGCGTTCCAGCAGCTCGCTTCCCCCGTGGACACGGGAAGGCAGAGAGGGCAGAATTCACTTGTGGATTCTTTCAACAAACGGGATTTGGTTCCAGAGACGTTTGGGTGGCTTGCTCTCTATAATTGAATAATGTCGTGAAACATTTGTTAAAATTTACACCCGATTAATAGTTTTGTAAAACCTGATATTTTATTTCCAAACTAATATTTATGTTTCCCTACTACGAACATGTCTGCCCAAAAGCAGCGCTGGGGAGCACAGCAGGTCGCTCACAGATTTAGTTCCTGACCCTTTGGAAGGCCTTCCACATTCCGTGCTCGGCTGTATCAGTCCAAGCCACTATTAAAGCCAATCACGATCCCAATTTATGAATGAGGCTTTTAATTAGACGTTTATTTCATCTGTATCTTCAATTCCCTTTTTTATTTGAGAGGATCCTTGCCTGTTAGCATCTGGCAGTTCACCAGCATTTGGTTTGGACGAGCCTGGCTCTGCTGATGAGACGCTGTATGTCGAAACCACTCCAGAGTTTTGCTTGCATTGAATCAATGCTGCTGACATTGTGCACTCCGCGAGGGCTGTGGAGAGTCGTATACGGGAAGGGGACGGCTATTTATTGTGATTGCGTGACTCCATGCATGCTTGACGGAGCGGCGTTCTACTTCGAAGTGCTGTGCACGCTGGCAGTGGCTTTGTTTGCGTGGATTCCCCCTTGTTTTGATTTTGTTGTAATTCTTGTGCAGTGCAAGCAGGTGGCTTCCATTATCGCGACTTTTCGAATCTGTTGGATTTTATTCACACGCAGATGGCGTGAAATGCACGTACAAATGCGTGCACCATGTTAGTTTATACGCTGATTACTTGTGAAGGGTTTTGGTTACTCGCACTCTTGGCTATTACTCATTTTGGCAAGGGGACTTTTTTAAGTCTTCAACTGTAAATGAGTGGAGCCTGCGATGTCCTTCCTCGCTCCCGATTGGCGGCCTCGAGCAGTGAGCAACACGTCATGAGAATGCTCAGCTCGGCTCCGCTCAGCAATTCGGCGATAAAAATCACAAAGTACCCTTTATTAAATAACCCACAACTTTTGCTTATATCTACAACCACCACCGGCTGAACTTTACATTCTGTATGGGGCTTTAGTCGTGTGCTTTTAGTCGTGCGGAGGAGCGGTCTCCAGACTGCCGCTCGTTCACGCCACACTCTCGAGCCCGGATAGGGAGATGGAGAGAGGGAGAGAAGGGACACTGTATTTTTTTTATGTAACGCGCTCTGCAGCCGCTTTATTTCTAAGTTGCTTTTGAAAAAAAATTGGGAGTTGCCAACGCGATTAAATCACGATGCCTCAATCGGCAAACAACGATGAATTGAGGTGGTAACTCATTCGATGTGTCCCCTTCAGCGCATTGGCTGGCGAGTGTTGAGGTGCTTTATGCGCAAATTAGGTCCTGAGATGTGTTTTTGTGACTGTAACTCAATAATCATGGAATTGTGTAAGCAGATTAGATGTCCAAGGCCATATTCACGAGCATTGCTTTCACATTTATGGGTTCAATCTGCTTTAAGAATTCACATTGTGGTGTGCGTGCGTGTCTATCGTGGCGATCTGTACTTTGCAGTGTCTATAAATAACATGATTTAGACATTGCGTTCACTCTCATTGAACAGTAATTTTATGAAATGTAACCTTCTGTTGAATGTGTGAAACGCCACAAGCCAGTGTGGTTTGAACTATTTGAAATGTGCCTTGATAAGATCAGAGGTGGAGAGAGAGGCTAGCTCCACCGCTCACTCCACTGCTGGGCCACTGCTCCCTCTACCGCTCGCTCCACCGCTGGGCCACAGCTCGCTCCACCGCTCACTCCACCGCTCGCTCCACCGCTCGCTCCACCGCTCGCTCCACCGCTCGCTCCACCACTCGCTCCACCGCTCGCTCGACCGCTGGGCCACAGCTCCCTCCACCGCTCGCTCCACCGTTGGGCCACCTGGGAAGCCCTGTTTGCAAATCACGCGGTATTGAGAGCAGCGGAGGCACGGAAGCGTTGGGTTTGTATCCCGCTTGTGTTTGGTTTGTGCTTAATTTGCGTCTGGTTTGTGTTCGCTTTGGACGTTTGTCCGTGCCCGCCCGTGCCGGCGGGTTGGGCAGCGTGTGACTGCCACCCGGTTGGAGCAGCGGGCAAGACGTGCAACCAGACGACGGGGCAGTGCCCCTGCAAGGACGGCGTCACGGGGAACACGTGCAACCGCTGTGCCAAGGGCTTCCAGCAGAGCCGCTCGCACATCGCGCCCTGCATAAGTACGTGCACACGCGCGCACACGCAAACGCACACGCAAACGCACACGTGCACACGCGCGCACACATGCACGTGCACAAACATAAAGAGACAAAGATCCCCCGTATTGCCTTAACAGACTGTTGGGATAAGTGCTGTTAGTGAGCACCTTTTGAAGGGGATGCGTGGCCAGCACCACTCTCTGCCGCCTTTGTCTCCCCAGTGGCAATGTTCACACATCGCACAAGGTACTAATTTGAAGCTGAGTCGACCTAGGGTTAGGCCCAGGACCAGTTCAGATAATCATCACTGGTGTTGGCCGTGAGCGGGAATCAAACTCGGGTCACTGGGTCCTTAGCACAGTGCATTTAAATTCGGAGACGTTTCTCAGGCAGCCGTGGTCTATTATCAAAACTGTGCAGCATACAGCAATAGAGGTCAACACAGCAATACCGGTACCAGATCACGGTACAAAGCGATTTCTTAGCAACAGTGGTAGGTTTCATTACTTAAGATGCTTCCACCAGTTTTTCAAGAAACTCATACAAAACCTTATCCGCTATGTTCTTCAATCTCACAGGGAATAATGTAGATACATATCGTACGATAATAACAACAGAACCCCACTGTCTCATTCTGATGTCACATTCTTGGCGTCTCTGGAGGGTCCCACATTGGAGGTCCTGTGAGCGGTGAGCGATGCTCGGGACGGTCGCCCTGGTCATCGTTCATCCGGACTTTTAGTGGGAGAATAGCCTCCCAGTCCCATGGGGATGCAGGAGTTATTGAGGCTGACTTCGTCGGCTTGTCCTGCAGGACACTTCTTCTTCTGCTGATTAAAGGACTTTAGTATTTGTTTGCGTGCCAAGCAAAACAAGATCTGTCATGGATTGACATTCACAGACAGAAACCCACATCTCTCTTTAATCCCCAATGGTGCAAAGCCCCAGTATATAGGGGTTTTAAAAATTCTAAATTCTTTCCTTATTTGCTCTTTGAAATAAAAAAACTACTTGAAATCACTCATGCGTTATTTTACAATAGCGGCTTTAAAGTACAAGGCCAGAGGACCACTTGAAACCAAGGCATACTTCATATAATAATAGTTATTTTTGTTATATTACGTAACCTTATTCGTACAAATTGCAAAATTCATTGCAAGACTCAAACGTTTGTAACGCACACATGGATATAGTATGCATCGAGGCCTCCACACCTCCGATACGTTCGGTGCGAAAGAAGTTCAACATAGATGGGGTAGTAATGGGACACGTCATCGCTTTCATGAAAAGACTAAATTACAGGTGGTTCATTCTAAATGACGGTGGGATGTTGTGCAATCAGCAACGAGTGGGTAAATGTAAACAATTCCCAAGCCCCACGATCTCACCTGAGCCGCAACACCGCAGCGCTGGGTCACCGTAGCATGAGCCTCAGCTGGGGCGTGTGGACGCATTGTGGATTAATCCGCTGTGTGGTGGACATCCGGCCCGTCCGTGCTGACCTTCCCGCCGAGACGATCTGCTGGGTTGTGTCTGCGCTGTGCAGTGCCGGAGGTGATGGTTCATAACTGGGATGCTTCATGCATTCCAGGGTGAACAGTGGCACATCAGTTCGTGCGTTGCGCTACGAAACCGAGGGATGTGCCAGTCTTGGCCAGGGTGGTGAAGTATAGCCAAACAACCCCCATGACTGGGAGACCGTAATCCGGCATGGAAATGAATATTTGTGTATTCTTACTTAAAGTACAGGAAATACTATTCCTCATTGCCTTTGGTTAATGGACTTTTGTGATCAAAAATGTACAAATATTTAAGCAAAAAAACTCGTGTGTCAATGTATTTCACCAGACAGTTGTCGTTTTTGCATGGTGTGGACGAGTGTTTAGTGAAGTAGACATCGCTGGCCCCCTGATGTGTAAACATCGCCTGGGCCAGCGGACGGCAACCCGGCGCTCATGCCCACGGTGCTGACGCTGACGTCTGCGTGCGTCTGCGTGCGTCTGCGTGCGTCTGCGTGCGTCTCTCTGCTGCAGAGATCCCCGTGGTTCCGCCCACGAGTCCCACGGTCAGCATCGACTCCACAGGTGAGCGCAACAGGGGCACTACCAGTGGCCCTCACACCAACGCACGGCAACTGGCACCAGACATGGACAAACGAAGTGGGGACACTGCTGCCCACCTGCTGTGCAGCGCCCTGTTCCTATCCCATTGCTCTTGATGTAAAGCAGTCAGGGTGATTAATGATACAGAACTTTTGGAATCACTGCAACGGTGGTCAGTCGTCTCCTTATCACTCTTCTATTGCCACGACCACGGTTACCGTTCCCATGAACTTCACTCGTTGATTCCTCCACCGCCATAGGACAGCCACTGTTCATCTTGCCCGCAAAGTGGTGCTCGTTCTATTGGCTCCAGAGGGACAATGGGCTGATTCAACCCCTTCCCCACCCAAACCAGGGATTGAACTGGCCCGTGAATGAGTATTGTTGAGTGTATGGTACACTGCGTACACGCGGCGCACTCCCAGGCTATGTGCCCAAAGAGCCGGCATCATTTTGCAATCAACATCAGGGGTGCATCAGGAGCGGTGGGCACCCTTGGCCCCCACCGGTAACAGCAGTTGGATAAAATCGCGAGCTACCTGAGCCAAGGCTGCGCATCGGCCAGAGCAGCTTCGTTCTAACGCGCAAGGGGCGGCCCGCGTCCAGTTCACAACCCACACCGCGGGGAATCATCCCTCTGGGGTCGATACAATTAGTACCACTTTGTGGAGACGTCAACAGTGGTTGTGCTAGAAAGATGCCCGCCAAAGGAAAGTGGCTCAGAGCTCTTAAGTGGCAGATGAGTACCGACTCAATATTCATCTGAGGAGGGAATCACTTTGATGAGAAAACAAAAACTCCAAAGGATGGGGCCTAACGCAGGGTTCGGTAAGAGCTGTCCAAGCAGCGTGTTCTGACGTTGTGAGCACGAGAGCGACGCAGCGTTGTTCCGCTTGCGAGGAGCCTCCATGTGCAGAGGACAATTTGCACGTTGGCCCTTGGGACAGAGCGCAGGAATGTCAGGGCACGTCCGAAATGGGACCGGTTAAGAGGCCAGATAAGCTTTCCGGTAATGTCTTCGTAAATGCTGTAATCACAACGTTCGAACGTATGTATGTTGAACTTCTTTCGCACCGTACATTACCAACCATGCTAATCGGCCAGTGTGTCTCTCTATATGGATGACGGTCGGTGGGCAATTTTACTAAATAGAGAACAATGCCTGTGCCTGTTTGGGGTATGAAATGCTACGAAGCAAACGGATCCAATAGCGGTCGTATATTGCTTAGTTTAACACGTAGCAGGATTTCGCGACCAATAACATCCATAATGCAGGTTTTTTGGGTTAGATCATATAAATATATACATGTGTTGTTAAACCCGCCACCATCCGACACAGCTAATTAGTCAGGTTTGTAACGTAAACAGAACATGCCGATTCGTTACTAATCTGGCTGTTGCCTGATGAGGTTAGTTGTAATTACTGGCGAAACGTCGTACTCAGATTGTATATGTTGTGGCTTGGCTCTCCAACACACCGGTGTGCTGTACTAGTAACAATTTGGCCACGTTCTGTTTACGTGACAACTCTTACTAGTTAGCTGTGTCGGGTGGTGGCGGGTTTTAACGACACATTTATATATTTACGCGATCTAACCCAAAAAAACAACCTGTTTTTGAACGTTTATTACTTAATGTGTGTACGCTAACTTCAGCAGGAGGTGCTGCAGTGGGTCCAGGCATCGTGGTCTTCCCCCCCTCACCCGATTACCCCCACCCTGCACACCCTTCCTCCTGCTGCTGCCTCTTGTTTTTCTTTAAATTAGCTCTCGATTTCGATCTATTACATCTTATTTCAGACACCGCAAACCACACCGTGCCATCATGTCGTTAAAATACCGATAATATCTCTGTTCGGGGTGGGTGGAGTGGAGCGGTGGCACAGCGGTTAGCTCACCGCGATATGACCCCGGCGACCTGAGTTCGATTGCTGGCCGATGCTCAGTGGCGAGCAGTATCCGAACCCGTTGTGGTCTCTTCACCAGAACTGTACTGATCAGGGTGGTGAAGTACAGTCAAATAACCCCGTGACCGACACGGTGTATGGAGACCGTCATCCAGCAGTGGATTGATAGAGAGGCATTAGGCCTCTCTGTCAATCGTCTTGGTGCGTGCGAGCGAGCGAGCGTCTTGGTGCGTGCGAGCGAGCGAGCGTCTTGGTGCGTGCCCGGAGCCGGGGACTGATTTGCGTCGAGCGGTTCTGCTCGTTGTTGAAAACAACCCTGCTGGGAAATGTCAGACACAATGTTTCTCTCTCTTCCCTCTCTCTCTCTCTCCCCCTCTGTCTTGGATGGACGGACGCAGTGAACGGATAACATCAGGGGACACTTATTTCTCCCCAGAACAAAACCGTTTCAGTTTCCTATGCTGCTGTTGTCGGTTGAAACGCGGTCCGCTCACTTTGATGATTTGTAAAACAGATAAAGGCGAATTTGGATTTGAGAGTGTACAACTGCGTGAGGCTTGAAGCATCAGGAGCACTTACAAGCGGTGTGATTTGCAGTAAGTTTATTTTTTATGTGTTATCGTGTACCCTGAGGACATAATGTGTCTCTGAACTGTGTTTTTGTTTTATTATGGCTAATTTGTAAGTTGCAGCATGCCATAGGTGAAGCTAGGAATATGTGCAGCGATCTTCCCCGAGACTGGGAATATTTTACTTAGCCATGGAATGAGCAGATACAATCCCATGACAAACGAGGGATCCCGACAATCTTACAGGATGCCCTGCAGTGATGATATACAGCTAATTTATATTTACATGCCAGAGAATAGATATAGGGGCACTCTGGAGTTCTCGATACAGGAGTTGTATGTTAGAGTTGGTGGATAGCATGGCTTCCTTTCACTGCATTTTGATTGCTTCATTTTAGAGGCCGACCGAACTGAATTTCTGGTTTCGGCCAAAACCGAAGCCAAAGCCGAAAGTTCAAAATTGACTTTCGGCCGAAACCGAAGCCAAAACCGAAAGTTTAACTACACTTTCGACCGAGACCGAAACAGAAAGGTATATAACCGAAGTTACCGAACACAAGATTTATGAAATATCTCATTATGCAATGCTACTTTAATTAAAAATAAATATATAACTAATCATTCAGAGCCTGCAGTAAGAGTCGCTTAATATACAATCTTTAGGTGTTTCTTACTTAGTAATTATATCCAAACAAACGAATGTTCTAGTTAAGAAACAACAGCTTTTCCGCATTCAGCCAGACAGGCTGTCGTCTGTTGACCGGTCATATATACAATAGCAGACGATGGTTGCGGCTGTAACCTCGCTCCCAAGCTGCTGCTGCTGACGTGTGTGTGTTTGCAGCCTATCGCATAGGATTGCCTAGCGCCGACTGAGTGGCCGATAGGTGTTTGGTTGACGAATTTCGTCCGAAACCTAAACCAGACCGAAAGTTAAAAATGTACTTTCGGCCGAAACTCAAAGTATTACGTGTGGACAGACACACATCACGTGTGTGCTGTGTACGTGTCAATCAACAATCTAACACCCTTGCAAACGAGGTGATCCATCTCAATGGATTTTACAGGGACTGATTATACAACAGTAAGTAAATAGTCATCGCTGAGCACAAATATTTTGACCTGCTTTCATACCTGGTCGGAATCTTGCACTCGACAACTATCAGAAAAATCAACATCTAGAGGTGGGAAGTTCTGATTGAGTTGACATGGAATGACCCAATGTACATTTATAAATGTGCATAAATTATGCGAATGCAAATCTTGACAAAAAGCTTTCGTGACTGCAGGAATTCATATTCTTTGGATCATTCGGTAAAGTCACGTAGATAGGTTCAAAAAGTAAAAGAAAACTACGACGTATCGATCACAACACAAGCAATCGTCATCAGGTGGAAAAAAACATTGCCCTGCTGCAAATGCAGCAAATGCAGCAAATGCAGCAGGGCAATGTCAAGACACATCATGCGCTGTGAATGAGAATTTCGTGCACGTAGCCGAGTGCAAGGTTTGGCGGCGGGAGTTGATGTCAGAGATTCAGCGCCACCGATGATGATGCCAAGCGTTCTGTGAACGTACGATTGGTTTCCACTGCGCTTTGGTCTCATCACCACCCAAGAGGTATTGACATGACTCTCGCAAGATTAACGCAAAGTTATTAAACCATTTCTTTTCTGTGCTCCGAATGTGGCTAGAAATAAACACAAATATATATTTAACAGGCGTCGTCGCTATACTGACTTTGGCAGCAGCCGGAGAGCGTTGGTACCTGTGGCGAATCACTTGCGGTGGCGATCCGTGCCACTCCTGTTGGACATCTGTGAGAAATAGATTTTAAAGCTCATCAGATTCCTCGACGCTTCCTACTTGGCGACCGAGTGGGAAAGTCGCGTCTTTGTTCTTCAGATTTACGTTTTCCCAGGGATTAATTTTCACAAGATATGCAATCATTTCTTAATGCATATCCTCGAGTAAACAAAACACATTTAAAAACAATTTCAGGTGCACATTTTCAAGAGTAGATTAAAACCATCGCCGTGAATTTTACAAGGCTGAGAATGAGTGGATGTGTCTTGTTGCCTCTGATGGGGCGTGACGTCGTTCAGGGCAAAGCCTCGACTTGCCAGTGGTGGCACAAAGAGAGAGAGACACACTCCCGATGCCTTCCCGACATCCAGAACCAAACTAGTGTCCCCATCGTGAACCTGAACGTCGCCCTGCTTCAACATTCGTAGATTCGGAGTATTTCCTGTCAACTCGTTGTGAATGTCCGCGTTAGGTATTTTAGTCCGTCCTGCGTGTGTTGTGAGGACGTGCGTGAGAGTGAATATGTGGGAGTGTGTACACAAACTCGTTTGCGTGTACAATCCTCGGGCTTGTGTTTGCTCGAGTGCATATGTGCAAGCGAGAGTGTGTGTGCGGAGCGGTAGTGTAGCCGTTAGCGGTTAGCGCGCTGCGCTATGAACCCAGCGACCCGGGTTCGATTTCCGCTCACGGCCAACACCAGT